TGTTGTATTTCCCTACCATCTGACACTGGTCATCTTGACAGCCTTTATTTGACGCACCCCCGCCGGCTTCTAAATAAACCCACAACGTAACTCCTCCAAATGCGCAAAACTGTCGTTTTCGATTCGGTCTGTCGTCGTCCATCCTACAACATATCCTGCAGAGCGTCCGCGCAACTGCGTTTATCTACTCCCTGGCCCTAACTTCTCCAGCTATCCAGGATTGAGTACCTCCTCCATCTTGATTTGAGCTACTCACGTTAGAACAACCTCCTCTCCTTCTATAAAGAATCTGGGCCAACTGAACCTTGCCCATTTTACCTTTTTTTCTATCCTTTTTTCGGACATATTCGAGGAAACTCGAAACACATTTCTCTTGTGCCTTATTTCCAATTTCATGCCTAATAACTGTCTTTTAATCAAAGTCAAAAAATCCAATTGATCGATTGTTCGTATGTACTCAGCAATGCACCTCAACCTCAGCATCCAGGTCTTGCGGTCGTTCTAAGATTACCTTCAAACACCTTCAAAAACTTCCCGTTCGATACCTTATTAACCAAAAGGTACCAAGAACCAAGTTCAGGAAGCCTCTTACACTTAGTTGTTTTATGTTTTTTATACTTTGCAACTTTTCTATGGTTAGCCGCTTTTGTGATGAATAAACGCTGAAATCCTCTCACCCATGCACAATTTAGCGGTTTTACGACAGAGTAGGAAAAGGTAAATGGATACGTGCGTCTACTCCACCAGAAAATATCCGACGTTACCGATATTAATGCTGATTGTTAGCAGAGCAATATAGGCTACATACCGTGCCCGATCGATGTAGTCGCCAAACAAACTAAGGCCAAAGGTCCCAAGTAAACCAGAGCACTGAAGGTGCTTATGAGGAAGATGGTGGTAAAGAACCGCACGGTCCAGTTCATCCAACGTGGTGGCAATCGTCCGACAAGGGACGTGATGAAACTAGGTACGTAACTGGTGCCCTGATGGAGCTTCTCAGCGGCTACAAAATCAGGATTGATAGGATCGGTTGCCATGTCTTCATCCTCTTCCTCATCGCGGTTGGCAGACTTTGATTGGGAGGGCAACACATCCCCAGAAGATGGATCTGATCCTGGACTAGTCTCGCATGTTGGTTGCTGTGGTAAAAAGATGAGAGAAAATTGGTGAGGGAGAAAATCAAATTGAACAACAGGTTATTACGAATACTCCCACCGTGCTAATGAAGCCGAAAAAGATTAGCATGGTGTGGAACATTTACTTCCGTTGGATGATGATATGATAACCCAACGTTCATACATTGGGGTTTATTGTTCGACGCATAAGTCATCGTGGACAGCCTTCTTCAGGAGTGGAATAATCGAAAGTACAAAACACAAGAAAACAACCGACAGCTTTCTTTCAAGAGGGTAAGCCTACGCCTGCAGTTTGGGGTTGGATGTAACACATTATGCGTAAGGTTGGTTTGGTTCTGACAGCCCACATGGACAGACGGTCGTTTCGGTTGACGCAAGCAGGTTAGATATGGATCACTAGAAGTCACAAACAAAAAGAGAACAGTAAAAAGTATCGCTGCTACAGGGACTGTGGTTATTGAAATACTTCGTGATTCAACCTATACATCGGACACACAAGCAGACCCATTGGGAACTTCAGAAAGTGAGAAAGTCCAATAGTATAGCAAAGCGTTTCCCAATATGAGGAAGAATATTCAGGGCGTTTCTTTGTTAGCGGTTGGTTAAGATGATACCACACACTTACCGCAGCTCGGTGACGGACTTAGAGTTGTATCTTTTTTACGAATGCACGTGAGAGTAGTTAGGGTATTTTGCTTCACGTGGACTGAAGACTAAAGATGTTCAGTCCTCTTGCACACCATTGAGGGGTCACGTCGTCGAAGTCATTAAGAAAAGGTAACTACCGTGCTACCATTTAAACTAAAGCAAGAACCACAAAACAAGATAAATGAAAGTGAGTTCTAATAGGCTAAACTATACATAGCTTAAACTACGTCCAGTTCAGAAAAACTCGTTGGTATGGTGCAAAAAGGTATCAGCAATGTTTGTAACATCGACCGCCTGACGCGACAGTCAGTACGTAAAAGCCATCAAGTAGAACAGGTCCAGGACTGCTCTAGCACTTTTGCTCCTTCCAGCTCTTTGGAATTTTAAGCACACCAATATTCTCGGCCTGCAAGGATTCTCAGTTTTGCCTGGCGTCCACTGATGCGGCCAGTTGAGTTGTGGTTATGGCTAAGAGGAATCCGTCGCCGTGCCTCCAGCCAAGCCAAGTCTCTGTCAGAAATCCAATACTTGGATGAGGTTGACTGGGTTGTACTGCAAAATGATGTTCCGGCCTTGATTAGCGCTTTGGATATCTGCTCCCGGTGGCCGTTAGAATGCGACATCGGACCATCCGATAGGCGTTGAGGAGAGCCGTTTCCGGAGGTGTCTTTGGACTCCTGTGTCGACCAGCTTCTTGGTTGCTATGCAAAGTGTGCGCATTTTGCGTACACCTGAAAAGCTACCGCACAAAGAAACAGCTGCAGAAAACTGTATGGTCGGGGTCCTCGTTGGTATTCAAGAAGGGCGATAGGCGATGATCCACTTTCGCCAGCGTTGCCTGATACCGATATGGCCTATTTGGATTCCGGACCGGTCCGTTGGCGGATGCCACGTTGTTGGACGATTTCCGGGAGTTAGTCAAATCGAAAAAGTTAGTATTTCAAAGGAACAGTCTGTGATCCGCACACATCGGAAACAAGCGCTCTCCACCACCGTTGCATCTCGTATCTAACTCAAGCGACTGACCAATCGGGCCTCAGCAACACTTAGCCTACCTACGTGAGCGATCACATCACCAGCAACCACAATGATTTCTGAGCTTTTAACCCTTTGTAGAAGAACACCTAGAGTGCCACATAAACTTTGGCATGTTCAGGGCTACAGTCAGTTAAGGCGTTAGCAAGCACAATAAACAAGAAGCGATGAGCCTCACTTTTTCGAGATTCCTCCACATACGTTACCAAACGAATCGTGCAAGGGTGGCTATGAATAATGATAATAATAAGCGTTCAGCTGTAACACCCAATGCCTAGCTGCCAAGGCGCCCAGAGGAAGCACGAGGGCTGAGGTATTGTGCGGTTGCTCAAACCTAGACAGGAGCGGAAGAAATGCAGAAGTTGGGTTCCGACCACGGACCTTGCGATCGATAAGTTCGAGTGTTAAACACGGAGCTTCGTCGGGCTCAACTTGTTTCAGGATCGCACAAATCTAGTTGCTATCACCTAAACTAGTCGTGAGCCAGATGCTTGAAGCAGATTCGTATAAATCTGACGCCGCGTGGTCACCTAAAAAAAAGGTTGGAGGTTAGGTGACACTGCTTATACCCAGAACCGACGGAATAGACATGATTGATGTGATTTCAACTAGGTACGTTACACATATGTGTGAGATCGAATAACTTGCTGAACACTCCGTGCTTGCCGAAATAAGCTTGAAAAAGATTACGAAGAGGCACTCGGCCCGATGAAACAGAAGAATTTGAACGCGGAATACACGATGATAGATTCGTGTCGACATATTGGTTGAGACCCAAGAGATGCTTGTGATCGGAAACCTTTCAAGTTGAATACGGGTTTTTACGGGAAGCGTACTTCGGACCGTGATTCAATGAGACATAACGGAGCAGGCAATAGTGTCAAATGGTCAGCCGGACTTACATGACGACGTGTTATTCCTGCATCCATATTGATTGAATTCAGGTGAGTAGTTTCTCCAAAAAATCAGTTAATTATCGGTTTTTATCAGCAATAAGAGGAAGATCCCAAGAGATTAGGAGTGGTACCTGTGAGAACAACGAAGAGGTTAGCGAAGGAGTATAGCAGATATGATAACAGGTAATAATTAGGCACGCCAGTGGCGATTCTACCTGCTTCACTCCAAAGGTAAGCTCGAGACGGTCCAGTGCCCAAGGGGCGAACTCACTGACCGGAAGGTCCGTGGTTCGAAGCCAACCTCTGCATCTTGACTTCTCCTGTCTAGGCTTGGGCAAACTGTCAGTATCTCGTGCTTCCTCTGGGTGGTATGGCAGCTATACACCAAACATTCTTACAAGTGAATGGTAAATCGGCTCAAGAAAACGTTATAAAACCGAAAAGTGCAGGGAACATAAGAGTGGGAGCAGTTCCTCTTCGAGTTGGGCACCTGGATGTGCGATGGGTTTTGCGAAGCCCGCGAAAAGAAGCGTTTCGTAACGCGATGCCTACTAATGTTATTCTTAATTGACCTGGTCACAAGTCTTGTGTAGTGCACTATACCTATAATATAAATAGTGCTCCGTAACTGCTTGTTAGCAGAGCTGCCTCCAAGGGAAGAAATCCACTTTGCTAACGGAGTTGTCTTGTATACTGAAGTTATTTGTCTTCTCCACGCCGGTGAACTGATTCAGTGACACATCACTAGAGGACGTAACACTGGCGACGGGAGCCCAACGCGAACACAATGTCAATTTCAACTGAGGATTCGAAAGCAATCCTTCAACGGCAACAAGCGCAATTCGAACAATCGCAACCGCGACTTATTCAGTCTCTTACTCAAGTAATCAGTCTTTCGACATCAGTTCCATCTCAAAGTGGCAGTTCATTGTCCTTTTCCGATTCTATCACAGGAGCCGTCACCAAATTTCCCTTCGAAGCAACATCTGGTCTCACATTCGCTTCATGGTACAGTCGTTTGGAAGATACTTCCAGAATGAGCTTACCGATAAAGATTATGCGTGAAAATTCCGTCTCTTGGTCAGAAAACTTAGCACCCTCGAGCGAAATTCCCAAACGTCCAAAGGATCTTAACTTCTCACAAACAGTGGAATGTTCAGTTAGCAACATTCACTTTTAAATGTCCGACAAAATCGTCTCAAATTTACCAAGCACGATGCCGACGACTACGTCACTTCCGCCGGTGTCGTCAACCGTGAGTGTGAAAAATTCCAATAGCAGAGGATAAGTTCAACTGTCTAACTTTCGTTACTCGTCTCCACTCTTCGCAGGAATCTGATATACGTACTCGACCGCTTCCCAAGCTTGAATAGGAGGACATTGCCGTGAAAGTACCCATCACCGAATGTTAAAATTAAACATGGTACCGCAATGGCACAGCAAACGAAACGGCCTACTAATCTCAGTGGTGTCATGGCATTGAAACGAACCACTTTTGCACAGGAGAAAAACCGCCAACAGTGTTGGTCCTGTGGTGAGTGTCATTACGCACATTTTTGTCCATTCAAGACGCACCAGTACCAGATTCGTCATCGATGGCGCCACAAAGGCTTTTGCCGTACCCAAAAATCCACGGTACCTATAAACCAAAAGAGCGCCAACAGTCTAATAAGCAACACAGTCAAAAAGCAACCACACCTGAAATGTCCGCAGTTCAGATCTGTGTTTGTAATATTCCAAGTTGAATTTAAGTTATCAACAAAATTTCAGCCTATCTTCAGTTCGACACAGCTTCAAATATTACGTCAATCTCACATTTCAGTCAGGAGTTGGTAGGAAAACCTGTTGTGTCATTCACGAATCATCGTGCCCAAGATGCATTCGACAATATCCTACTACTGACTGCTAAGTTAGCCTGTAATATATCCTTGAACAATTCGCATTTCTCAGGAACTTGTGATCTCAATGACTGACCTAATTTGAAGAGACTTGGACCTAAGTGGGTTAAGAAACTTGGTCCTTTCAATGTATTGTTATCATCTGTGTGCAATGCATTGGAAGTTTCATCCTCCTTAGACATTGCAGAACATTACTAACACCCTCAAGACAAAATTCGACGATGTCTTCTAAGGTGGCCTTGGATACTGTACAAGAACTAAGGCGAGCATCAAACTCCAACACGATTCCAGACCAACTTTCAGACCAAATCGTCCCGCACCATTTGCCGCTCTCCCAAGGGCGGAGAATGAACTTGTTTGCCTCCAGTAATTCGGAGTTATCGAGCCAGTAAACCATCCATCATGGGCAGCTCCTATTGTTGTCAATAAAAATACAAATGGCAATGTGCGCATGTGTGCTGATTATTTCATAAGCCGTCGTATACTCTCACCAATATCCATTACCAGTAAGAGAAGATCTGTTCACCAAGCTCACTGTTTCACAAAGCTGGATCTCGCTGATGCTTACTTTCAAACGGAAGTCACGGTTTGTTTCAGTTTAACCATGTGCCATTTCGGATAAAATCTGTACCAGCAATAGTTCAGCAAATCATGGATGCCATGCTAAACAGTCTATCAAGAGTTGTTTCATATTTGAACAGCATCATTCTCACAGGTTCTAGTCAAGAATAGTTTTTACACCGTTTGCATTGTATTCGAGCGAATTCAACAATACTGTCTGCGTCTGCTTGTAAAAAACGCATTGTCTCTCAGAGCCATGAAACATCGTGGACTTATTGTTGACGAAAATGGCCGCTATTCAGATCCAGAGAAAACTGTCACACAAACGCCAGTACCGACGGATTCAGCAACCTTGCGCTATTTCCTCGATTTCCTGAGCCATTACGGTTCGTTTCTGCGAGGCATGCATCGTGTCTGTAAACCAATAAATCACCAGTCGGCTTTTAACAAAGTAAATTCACTTCTCAGGTTTGAGCTGGAACCCGACATCCGGCACTCGACTTCCTCTGTCTAGCCTTGGGCAACCTCGCAGCATCTTAGCCCTCGTGCTTCCTTCTGGTGGCATGGCAGTTAGGCACCGAAAGGGTGCTACAGCTAAACAATTTTTCTGCTCCATAGACATTACCACGGTGCCTGACGGTCAAAAGAGTCAAAGATAAATTTCAAGTCAAGGAACACCACCAATAATGGACGCTAGAAGCAGTTACGTTCATTTAGAACCTGTCGGATGGTTCAAACGTGCATCCTCATGCAGGACGGAACCCAGGTTGGTTTTCACGTATGTCATGTGTCCATATGTTCAGTCAAGTTTCGAAGGATAAGATCAAAGAGCTTTCTATGTTCACCAGACCTCCCGGTCTTTCCTTAGGCTCTTCGTACTTGTTGCCTGTTCCTAGCGTCAATCGGGACTAGCGATCTCGACGATATCCAGTGGTCATTTGATCGTATCGGAGAAGTTGGACGGACAGAACTGAGCGCCTCGAGCATAGTTCCTTTTACATTCTGCCATGCTTCATTCACATGCTCACTAACACTACAGTATTTTTAGCTGTGAAGAGTTGTTGGTCTGGCCCAGATCGATAATGTTGAGCTACCGTAGGTCTTCAACGATGGTGGACTGGCATGCTTCTTGCTGACTTACGAGGGCCTGAGGGGAAACCATGGCGGGATCGGAATCAAGATATGTGCTCCAGAAGGAACGGCAGTGTTGAACCCTAGCTCTCCACCGCTGGCGGATGGCAACCTGATCCAACTAGACTCACGGTTGATTTTCAGCTGGTGGCCGCCAGGTTACGTGACCTGAAACTTTATGCTGAATGTTCGTGCCGGCCAGAAACTGTTCATGATCAGCACAGTACTGGGGGAGTCGTTCTCCATTGTTGTGCGACAAGCATCAACTCGGAATCGACCGCCCAAATGTAATTCTTAGAAGTAGCAGGTGCTTTTTAAGCATCATCATCATCATTATCATCGAAGACAGCAACATCAGTGTTAGCATTGATGCTTCACTGCACTCAGCAACACCGGACTTTGTTTTTAAATGCATTTGGACCGCATCGAATAGTGCGCCGGCAGCCACGGTCAACCGTTGGGTGATCGGAGTGTGTGGTCTTTAGGGTCGACCATTTCCAACCCGTCCTTCTCCGTGGGGACGCAGCATCGCTGCTTCTATGAATATGGACTCGTTGGTCGCCTGGGGAGAAACACCTTACTGCCTTCACACTCCTATCGCAGAGGACAGTACGAATTCACCCCAAGACCGCCTCGTAACACGACTACTCGTCTTACGAGGTCTTGCTGCTCTTGGTCTGACGGTTCCTCTTTGGCCTTCCTGGCATGACGGCACCTTGTGGAACGAAGTTTCAACCAGTGTAGCATGCGATATCATTGCAACACTCAAGCCCGACCACCACGCAGAGATGACAGCTTTGAGTTGGGTTATGTGCAGTGAACTTTTCAGAGACAGTCAAAACTACCTACATCGAGCAACAATGTGCAGGCTGTTCGTGACTTCTGCGTGTCACAAAGAATGCCAACAAAGACATTTGTTTCCCAAACTTTCTCTAAAACGATTGATCAATCGGTGCCAAGCGTCTTCCAACTGAAAGACGAAAGTCACTCCCAGATTTCGCATCCCCACCCCCCAAAAAGCACAGGTGTCAAGTTTCATCCGGTACCATGCGCGCCATAAATGGACCTCTAGATGGCATTGAGCATTGATGATCGCAAAGCAGAGAGTGGTTGTTAATTAATTCGCTTGTGCACAGACCAACGTTCGTTTTCCGACATTGAAGCAAAGACCTGCCCCGCAACTCAAATTTCATTTTCTTGAGGAACCGTAAAGAAGGCCGAAACTGCATCTTGAGAAACCGCCGTGAAAATAGTGGCGATAAAAGCCCGGAAAGTGGAAAAGTTTCCTGCTGTCGGAAATAACCACGTGCTGTTTCAGCTTATTCGAAAGACCGGTGCGAAAGAGTTCTGCGGTAAGCGAAGCAACTCATAAGATAACTGGAACTGTTGTGCATTCACAAGGCCGCATTTTACAATGATGGGCGGAGCGTTTTGGACTCGGATTCAAACCATCGGGTAGGCGTAATCTTCGCGTTTCTATCAGCTTAATGTTCTATCTATACACACACGTAATTGGTATTTTCAAAAGTTTTTGACGGAGACATTCCTCGTGACATTCCTCAACTGTGTATACTGCAAAAGGACCATCTAAAGATTCCGTTGGCACGATATTTAAAATATCGGGCTCCAAAAGAATGGAACTTGAGTCCACTACTCTTCCTCTTTGATACGAACGCACTGAAATGGTTGCGTCAGGGTAAAAGGGGCATTTCTGATGAGAATAATGTAAATGTGGAGTGTATTCCCCTGACATGACAACCTTATAGGTAATGCAGGTGTATTTCCTACCCGGACAGGAATCTTCTTAGTGTTGTGTAGTATCTATAGAGACCGATGTTTTTCGCATGTTCTTTCGTCCTGATCTGTTATTCATGTCCACATTTTATGCTTGTCGTCATGTGAACTCGTCATGTTCGACAGATTATGAATAACCCAACAGGTCATCTCCTGGTGAGCGAGAGAGACGTGGAATTGTTTTCCTTCTGCTACTTCCCGTCTCGGTTCACTAACTTACTTCGAAATTTCATCTGTGTGTTTTTGTTCGCCGTTAGTGTGATCACGTATCAGTTGCTTGCAACCAGGATTTCGTTCTATTCTGGCTGTCGATTGTACCCTTGAACTATACCTACTGTTTCGCTTGGCTTTATCCTCTATCTATCTACTCACTCATGTTATTGATGCGTTCAAAAATTTTCTAGGCCTTGCGCATTTCATAATCCATTGAAACGGTTGATCTCTCGATAGCTTTGATGAACGAGAGCCGCCGATTGCTCGATTCGACTGTTTCCCTCAGTGTCGAGTTGTGTCCCATTCAGGAGGCAATTTTCGACCGGATTTAGTTTACCGGTTAGTGTTTTCATACTTCGTTGTCAAGTATTACACTGCCTACTTCCACTCGGCACAGGCATGGGCGAAAGAAATTCAGCATCATCAACTGCGGTGGCTCGGCCATGTGCTGCGCATGATGAGACATCGTCCACCGAGAAGACTGTCGTTCTCCGTGCTTATTTCAGAATGGTGAAAACAGAGAGGTCACGACATATGGCTTGGCAAAAGGGTGCGAAAGTGATCAGGAGGAGCATAGCTGTTCTTAGTGCGGTCTGCCTTCCAGGATGGGGCCGTGAAAGCCCCTCCACGCTTCGCTGCATAAATTGCAGAAAATAGGGACTGATCGATATCATCATTATCGTCAGAGACAGCAACACCAGTGTTGACATTAATGATTCACTGCCGTAGAACCATAGCGTCTATCTAATTATATTTAAAACCTGAGAATGGAAAGAGAAGAGAATGGGTGAGGGAGGGACGTGGCGCTGGCCTATCACAAGCCTTCTGAGCTGCCTGAACATCCCAGCACGCAACTGGACGGTTGGAAACGAAACAGGCGGCACGAACCACACAGCCATTCCTTGCAGTGTCCAGCCAAGCGCAGACGGCGTCACAAGGACCTCGTCCTGGAAAGCGTACGACACCAACACCACCCAAACCCTTCGTAATCTCTTTCGTAACCTTGTGCCAAGCCATTCGTTGTCTACCTCGCAGTTTCCGCCATTATGAAGGAGACACAGAGAACAACACTCGTCTCCATAGACTGTAGTTCTGCGTGCGTAGCACATGGCCGAGTTACCGCAGTTGATGGCGTTTAAGTACTTGCTGCACAACCAAGTATTCGTTTTCGATCCTCTCGTTACTAATCCGTTGATGCCGTCCAAAACCACTAACTCTTCTGAGACATCGGTGGTCGAAAACCAGAAGACGCCTCACATCACCTGTCCTAAGAGGCTACATTTCGCAACCATACAACACAATCCTTACTGTGGCCTGGTACATGTGACCATTGAGACCCGGCAATGGGCTATTTTGACGCAACAAATGACAACTTAGCAAACGTGATTCTGACCTTCGAGACTCGTGCACCGACTTCATCAGACACACCTCCGTCAGAGCTAATACAACTACCGAGGTACGTAAGATCTGCGACAACCTCCATCGATCCTCCTTGACTTGTAAGACTGCACGTTCTGAAGCATGACTTTACACTTTTAAGGTGCTATTCGCATGCCGAAAACTGGTAATCATGATGGCTATGCGACAGAGCTTGTGCTGCGCTTTCGTCTTTAAAGATGAAGACACTATCGTCTGCATACATCGACAAGGCTCCCGCTAGCAACCACTTGAACACCGGGGTTTTGAGGACCTTCCAGCGTTTGTCTCATTATTTCATTAATTAAAAAGAATGGAGACAGTTAACATCTTTGAATTTAAGGAGCATCAAGATTGTGGGTTGTCAGTACATGTGGCGCTGCTTTAAGACCTGACAGGGTGATACGGTCAACGCGGCCTCTGCCCGGTCGAAATCCGCTCGATTCTCACGAACCAATGTTTCACGTGTGTAATAATGTGGCTTTCTCAGCTTAGTTCTCAGTCTGAACCTTCTAAGCTAACGTTCCTATAAAAACAACCACACAAGATGCGCATCTTGTAGCAATGCCCAAAACCAGGTCAAACACGCATGTATAGCGCATCGTTTGTAAAGTGTACGCGGCGAAAATCTCTGGAAATTCTGGCGCTTTCCGGACGCTGTATTGGCAACCGGCAATCGGCGGATACTGAATCACGAGTGACTGTGTAGCGTGGACGAGGAAGGGACTTAGGGCTAGCTTACCACAATCATTCCGAGGTGCCTACACCTCCAAAAGTTCACTCAGGCAGTCTGGATAGAAACTGACAACAAGAACGCCACTGACATCGGCTGTCAGCCATATCTTGTAGTGTCTCTAACCAGGCGAAATGAGAATCACGCGGTCCCCATCCTGGAAAGCGAGTAGCACCTACAGCACCCGAGCGTTTCGTGATCTCCTTCATACTCCTCTGACAAGTCAAGGGTGAACGGCCACTTTTGTTTGTTGTGGCTGACTGTCTACAGTTTGACTGTTACCATCGTCTTCAATGTGGGGTGCTGGGTTCCGCTCGTCAACATCACTACTACGACGAAAAAGAACTCATGTTATGTAGTTGGCGGCCTCTTCATGCATTTGTTTCAAGTTATCGGATAAACTCCGAGTTCTTGTCATGATCATAATCATCGTTATCAGCTGTAACAACCGCGTACTTGTCGCACAGTGATTGTAGCTGCCACAGTTTGTTCACTGATGATTTGGGGGGAATAGGTAGCTGCACATTGGAGGCAAGAGCTGATAAATTAGTGCATAAAAACAGCACCGTCAGTGTGCTGCTAAGTGGGAGGGTTGGGAAGGGAGCTACGCATTGAAGGCAATAGCTTAAATGCATGAGCGCCATTGAGGGCCATGTCTGACTATTGATATGGCCCGTATCGAGGTCCCCATCCAGGAAGACGGCAGTGACCAGCACAGCTGAGTTTGCTGGTACTGGTTTTTACACTTAACTGCCAAGTCATTACTTGACGGTCTCTGGCTCTCTTTCCCCCTCCCCCTCTTCACATGGTTGTGCGAAAAGAGCCTTTCGAGAAAGTCAGCCGACTGGCATACGCAGCGCGTGGCCAAGCCAGCGCAACCTATGCAGTGTGATCAGTTCATCTATCGAGGGTGAGTTATTTCTCCCGAATGCCATTCGACGAACTTCAGCATTGCTGTTCCAGTGCTCCCACCAGATTCGAGTAATGCTCCAAAGACATCGATGGTCAAACACTGAAGGTCTTTTGACGTTCTCGGCGCGCAGCGGCCAGGTTTCTGATCCATATAGTAATACGGAATGCACCGCAACATTGTTAACTCGACGTTTGACAGAGAAGCTGATGTCACGCCTACGTCACAGGTGACGCAGGTTCACAAAAGCTGCTCTGGCCTTCCCGATCCGGATAAAAATGTGACCTTTCGCGAGACCACCAAGAGTGATTCAGCTGCCCAGGTAAATGAATTTGCCTACTATCTCAATCGGTTCATCCGCAAGCATGAGGCTAGGGTTCGAGCCCACCCAGTCTTGCAGTAGCACTTTACACTTTGCAGGTGTGAAGCGCATGCCGAACCGTGAGGCAGAATTAGATTGTTTAATATTGTTTGTACTACCACAGCATCAGATCCGAGAAGCCCTGTGTCGTCTGCGTACTCGGTATCCTTGAGGGGACGCCCATGGAACACTTCGACCTGATAGTGAGTCTTCCATGATAGCATCAATGACGATGTTGAAGACGAAAGGTGAAAGAGGACAGCCCTGTCTAACACCACTTGATGTAGTGAATTCAGGTGAGAGCCTCCCATAGACCTTCACACGGCCGTGGGAGTTGGCGTACAGCGCCTTATGGAGGGTCAAGAATTTATGGGGAACACCTTTGCTCCACATACACTGCAATAGTGCCTGACGGTCCAGAGAGTCAAAGGCGGCTTTCAGATCAAGAAACAGCCATTGTTGGCTGTTCCAGAATTTATCGGAGGATGAAGATATGATCGATGTATCCTCTGGCAGGACGGAACTCAGCTTGGTTTTCACGGGTCTGCCTCTCCCCGTGTTCAGTCAACCTTCAAAGGATAAGGCCAGAGAGCACCTTTGATGCCACAGCTAACAGCCTGATGCCACGGTGGTTTTCGCACAGCGTTCGCGCACCCTTTTTGAAGGTAGGGATAACCGTTGACATGCCCCGTTCGGCAGGCACCTACTCTTTGTCCCACATGGTACCAATAAGCATTGCCAGATGAGTCACCAGGGATTTTCCGCTTTCTTTGAAGTGAGCTAGATACAGACCGTCCAGTCCTGGTGCCTTCTCACGTTTTAGTAGGGCTATTTCGTACCTATTTCTTCCGAAGGGCGAACAAGGTTTACACTCCGTTCGCCCGTGTGCATTACCTCCACACGCTGTGTTGCAGGAGGCCAGCTGAACTGTTCTTCGAAGTGTTCGGTTCATCTTATCAGTCGACGTTTTTGCAAGTGGATTATTGAGCCGTCCTTTTCACTTATCGTTTCGCTGACCGTTATTTTCCTAGTGCCAGTCGATCGTATCAGTTGATATAGGGCACGGCTGTTTCCTGTAACAAAGGCCTTCTCCATCTCTCGAGATTTCGATGTCAGGCTTGCACGCACCATGGCCTGATCGGAATCAAGTGGTGTGCCCAGAAGGAACGGCAGTCTTGAACTGTGGTTCTCCACTGGTGGCTGATGGCCACGTGGTCTAACTGGGTCCATGGTTGATTTGCAGTTGGTGGCCACCAGGTTACGCGGTGCGAATATTTATGTTGAAAGTTCGTACTTGCCAGAAACAGTTCAAGATCGGCACACAACTGCAACAGTCGATCTCCGTTGTCCGTGCGGCGAACATCGACTCCAAATCGACCGCCCAAATGTGAGTCCAAAGAGCTCAGACGACCTACTTGAGAATCCAGATCGCCTAGAAGGATCACAATGTCAGTGCACCTTGCTTGACGAGTGAGTCCAGATAGCTCTCGATAGAAAGTATCCTTCTCCGCATAAGCCGATACTACAAACAGGCGCCGCTTTTTATGCCGACAGGCATTGAGCTTGATCGGACTAGATAACCGGACCGGGATCCAATCCACCAAAGCGCGTTCAGCTCTGGGGTTGAGTGCAACTCCCGCGCCATATATTCCACGGGTCATCGATTCTGGGTCACTGGTCACACAAAGGGAGAAATGTGGAAGAGCTGAGCTCATTCTTGGTGTCCTGAGTACATGATCACGCTTTGATCACGTTTTGTATGCGTGTTTCGGAGGCACAGCACACATCAATTTTAAGGGAGTATAGTACCTCAGCAAGCATATCCTGTTTGCCGATTCGACATTAAGTACGGACGTTAAAAGCTCGTATACAGAAAGGATCTCGTGGATTCAAAAGGGTGTAATTTTGTTTATTGTCAGTAAGCGGCGAGGGGTATTAGGCCCTTCGGTCAGATAACTGACAGCCAAATGGCTCAGCGACGTTTGTTTGTATGGTGGGAACGGATCGGTTAGAGGCATCGGTGGACACCGAACTGCGTGGACTAATGATACTTCCCGGTTGCACAGGCCAAGAAAGGGGGTTTGATTGAGGTACCCCACCTTGAGCCTTTGACTCAAAAGTCCGACCCACAAGGCAGTGGGAGGACGTAGTGTTTTGTTCGGGGACCCTGCCCCTAGCCTCTGACTCAAAAGCCTGACACACAATGCAGCGGACAGTAGGGTTTTCTTGGGGGACCCTTCCCGAAGCCGATAACTTAACAGTCTGACCTGCTTGGCTTCAGGGTAGTTGGCCTAACCCGAGGGCGGGTTGGATCTCCGACGAAGCACTTTCGTAATGGTAAAGTCAAAAGTGTCCAGAAGCATCTATAGCCTCAGTTCACTCGTTACGGAGCTGAGCATGTCAGCTGCATTTGATGTGTATGCCAGATCCACCAGCCTGAGCCAACTGAACCTCGTAAAGCAGTTGGCTGCGCCAATGAAGTATTTCTCCTGAAATCAACTTATGGTGTCTGCCGCTGTAGTCGCAGACCAACAGGCTTTCGCTGAAGGGGCACGCGGTTGCGTTATGATGCCGGACGTACTGGTTCCCCATCTTCGTTTTGCGGCAACACACTTGGCTTGTCTGTGGCCGTAGAGTATCATGCGGTGCTGGAAGCTTTCCTCGAAGTGCATCTGCTGGGCGAGTTAAGGTTCGGCATCGCTGGTTTTGCCAGCAGGAATCTTTGCAAAATCTCTTCCGTCGGTCCTTCCCCACTGGACTTCTGAATTGCACAATTCAGACTGTCAACAAAACATTTCGCCTGATTATTTAACTTTGGATGAAACGGCTGCGAGAGAGCATGAGTTATGCCATATTCCTGACAAAATTCAACGAAAGCCGGGGAACTGAACTGACTACCGTTGTCGGATACAATAGTGTCATTCCAAACCGATTGAGCAATCGTCAGAATTCCAGGAATGCAGTGGCAGTTATGGGGCTTTTCGCGAGAACTTCCGCCCACATACTGTCAACGTTAACCACGACCACCCAAAGGAACCGCATGGTCGAGCAAGCCAACACAGGTCATAGATTGTAGTCAGTTCATCCATCGTGGGTGAGTTATTTCGTCCGAAAACCATTCAACGTACTTTAGGATTAGCGACCCGGTAATTCCTACAAGACTCCGTAAATGCTCCCAAGAAATTGATGGCCAAATACTGAGTGTTAACATCCTCAGAGTGCGCAGACCACGTTTGTGAACCACATAGCGAACCTCAGCATGGTAAACTCCATCCTTGTCAGATAGGCTCTTGCGCCAAAGCCACAGCTGATACAAGTTCACGAAAACTACTCCAGCCTTCCCAATCCGGTTGGAAGCACCATTCTTGGCTAGACCACCGGGACTGACACAGCTGTCCAGGTAGACCGATTCGTCTACCATAGCAATCGGCTCACTCAGAAACATGGAGTTCGGTTTCGAGCCCACCCATTCTTAAAGCAGCACTCTACACTTTACAGGTCTGAAATGCATGCCAAACCGTGAGGCAGACTGATAGCTGCTTTTCGTGAGGAGAATCGATAGTCACCAATGCGCATGCGACATCAGGGTGACGGTTTCAAGAGTAGTGAGTATGATTTCTCCAACCCTCTTCCAGTCGTCATCCAGCTGACCATTCCCATTTTTTGATTGAGTCTTGAAGAGCTTACCGTCGTCCTAGATTCGGCATTGACAACCAGCATCCGGTGACCACCAGACAACGAATTGCCGTCAGGTCCAGACTTCCGGCCAATCAGAGCTCGCCCGGACTGGCAAGNAGTCTTCTCGCACTCTTGTGCGGGATGAGCTTCTAGGCCGTAAGAGCGCCAAACTGCGAGCGGTAAAGCGGCATCAGTGGGGGCTACCGCCTAACGCTGAACACAAATAAGCACTCTTTACCGCATCCGGAAGCACCGGTATTAACTGGACTGGTCGATGGAACACCGTACAATTCATAAGACACTTTTCCAGACTGGCGCACCAAACCTTGGGGCCATGTACACCTAATACTTCACAATCAGTCGCATCAGGACCATCAGAAAAACGATGAACAAATTTGGAACGTCTCTGCCCATCCAAAGTAGCTTGATATATATTACCAATTTGTGGTCTTGCTTGCGTGTTTTTGAAAGAGAAACCAACCAGACAATAGGTACACCTATTGTCTGGTTTGACAGAGTACGAACGTCGGAAGCAGTAATATGGAACGGGTGCTTATATTTTAAGAATTTAATTTAGTTTATTCAACTAGACAGGGGTTTGGATGCTGAGCATCGTAGCCATCATCAAGCTGTACAGTGGATACGTCTGCAAAAGTTTTCTTCACCAGTGGCCTGAGAAGGTAGGGATGCAATAGAGACAGTGGCCAATACTAAAGCGTGAATCCTGGTGTGGCGTTTTTGTACCTTTATTTTACTTCCATTATAACACTAGGTATTTCATCAATTGCATAATCGTTTTTTGTTTGAATACGAGAAACCACAAAAA